CCCTTTCTAGCTCTCCATGCCCATGCATGTGCCACACCGCGTCCGTCGCGCCCGCCGTTGCCATCACGCTCGCCATAGTCACCGCACCACTGTGCCTCGCGCGACGCACACCCTGGCCACGCGTCACACTCTCGCTGGCTGCGCTCGCCCCGTCTGCTGCCGCCTATCCCTTCGCTCGCCCTGCTGCGCGCCCCTGCCTCGCGCCGCCTCCTGTCGCGGCCATCTTTTGCCGGCCGCCCCCTCAGCCACGCCGGCCGCATCTCTGCCCTCCATCGTCGGTCGCTCGCTTCGCCTGCTGCGTGCTTCTTCCTGCTGCTATGGGCTGCTCTACCACTGGTACGCTGTTGCGCCATGCCCTCGACACCGCCGTGGATAAATGTGGCAGAGGGATTGTCAATGGAGTACGAGAAGGAGGTGGCAGAGAAGGTGTGGAGAGGCAAGAGGTCTAGGGTGGCGTCAGCTGGCTGTGGTGGAGGTGATTATGCGAGAAGGAGTTGACGCAGAAGGATAAGTCACAATTGGAAAGAATCGCAAAAAAATCATAACCCGGAGATCTCATTCCAAAAAAATGCTAATATCGATGGAGGGGTGATTTCCTTAAATAGGTGGAAAACATAGGAAATATTGGATGTTATCAAGGAAAGGTAAAAAATTAGAAAAGTTAGGATTTTAAACTGATTTCTATGCAAATGGGATTTTATTGTTTGGTAACATGATATCAGTACCTGCCCGTTTGTGACGTGTCTGATTAGGAAAGTTTGCAAATGTTAAGAAACTATTTATTGGGATTTGTGACGTGTCTGTTATTTGTTTCCTATAACAAATTTCACTAATGAGAGAAATCCATTGATTTAGATAAGCTAGGAAAGTTAGATTCAAATCTATTATTTGTTTCTTAAAAAATTGTTATTTGTTTCCTAAGACAAATTGAACCAATAAAAGGAATCGATTGATATGAATAATTTAAGGAAGTTAGATTCGTGATTTATTATACGTTAGGAAAGTCCTGATTGTAATAAAGAATAGAGAGAAAAATAAATCGATGGACCAGGATGGGAGGAGAGACGAAAAAAACCCAGCGAAAATAAACCGTGGAGACTATTCACCAATTGCTCCATTAGGAGTAGAGACTCAACTAGAAGAACTGCCCCAGGGCGACAGAAGAAGAAGAGGTGTAAATTACACACTGGAAATATTAAAATGAAGCCTAAAGGTACAAGTTCAATTAGAAACATCAAGTCGGGCCTTACACATGACTAGAAGAACGCTCGTGCGTTGCAACGGGGACACATTAACTTTAAGAGTTCAATATTACGACATTGGCGACGTTTTTTTACCATCAAATCCTCACACACACACTCTCCCCCCTCCCTCTTCCTCACTCTCTCTCCCTCTCTCTCTATCACACACACACACACACACATAGCCTATTCTCCCCGCCAATAAGACTTACTCAATTGGCAATAATGAGTGGACTTGTGGTGAGCTTGACTGAACTAATGGATAGTGTGATATATTCCCCAATCATTTAACAATGAAATTTCAGAAATGGGAAGATTATGTAACACCTCAAGTCGTTAGCTACAGTGACCTCCTCCTAATGATGCCATGTCATCAGGTTTGCTAAGACAAACTGCCACTTGATAAAAATCAAAGCCCAATTTAAATTTAAAATAAAGTCAAATAAATTATTTCATTAAACAGTAAAACTAAAATGTTCACCATATTCCATAAATTCCACTGATCTTTGACATGTTGAGCCCAACATTATTTGACCCAAAAATTAAATCTTGTCAAATTAATAAGAGGTCCAACAGTAGTTAAAATAACCAATTAAATATAAACCTAATTTTATGTATTTCCTTTTGGCCCCAAACTTTTTGTGCCACCTAAAAATATTGTGCTCGAATTGTGTGCATACTTTCACAATTAACAAAATCCATTTAGTTGATATAAGAATAAATAGAAAATGGTGTTAAAAAGGAGAAACGGATTAGAATACATTAAAAACCAAAAGGACGATGAAAAAGGGGATTCCCCTACCCCCCGGGCCTTGCCACCGAACCGACCCAGTGGTCCAGTCCCCGCACGGTCGTCGTCTCCTGTTCCCCGAGCCCGTCGCTACAGAGCCGGGCTCCCGCCCAACCACCTCGACGTCATTGAAGGGGAATGGATTAGGGTGACGCCCTGCCTCCCCTGCCCCATGGCCTCACTCCTCCTCGACGTCCCCTTTCAGATCCACTTCTCCTTCTCGCTCGCTCGATCCCAGTGATCTGGATGAACTCAGATGCCACCATGACTGACGTCGTCCACACGGCCACTGCCCTCCCTGCTGGCTAGGAGCTTGTCGAGGAGCTCCGAATGCCTCCGCTACTTCGTCTGCGCCAACGAGATCAAGTCCAGCACCCCCAGATCGACGTCGTTGCCGTCCTCCTCAACCTTCGGCCACCGCGATGCCGTTCGATCCACGCCCACCCGAGCTCCCCTGTCTTTCCCTAGAGTGCCATTGACACCATCGTGATCTCCTCTTGCCTTTCCCCAGTTTCCCCTCTCGTTTGCTCTCGTTAGGTATTTCTCCGTGGCCGAGAACCGCCGTCCGCCATGGCCATTGCAGGGGTAGCCACTGAGCTCCTCGGATTGACCCCGTGGCACATGCCCGCTCCTATGTGCGCCCATGCCCGAGCCTTCAGCTCTTCTTCCGCGCCCGCGGGGCCACTCCCTCTCTGGCTCTCCATGCCCACGCACGTGCCACACCGCGTCCGTCGCGCCCGCCGTTGCCATCACGCTCGCCACAGCCACCACACCACTGTGCCCCGCGTGACGCACACCCTGGCCACACGTCACACTCTCGCTGGCTGCGATCGCCCCGTCTGCTGCCGCCTATCCCTTCGCTCGCCCCGTTGTCGCGCCCCTGCCTTGCGCCGCCTCTTGTTGCGGCCATCTTCTGCCGGCCGCCCCCTCAGCCACGCCGGCCGCATCTCTGCCCTCCACCGCCTGCGTGCTTCTTCCTGCTGCTATGCGCTGCTCTACCACTTGTATGCTATTGCGCCATGCCCTCGACACCGCCGTGGATAAACGTGGCAGAGGGATTGTCAATGGAGTACGAGGAGGAGGTGGCGGAGAAGGTGTGGATAGGCAAGAGGTCTAGGGTGGCGTCAGCTGGCTGTGGTGGAGGTGATTATGCGAGAAGGAGCCGGAGCGGAAGGAGAGGTCACAATTGGAAAGAATCGCAAAAAAATCATAACCCAGAGATCTCATTCCAAAAAATGCTAATATCGATGGAGGGGTGATTTCCTTCAATAGGTGGAAAACATAGGAAATATTGGATGTTATCAAGGAAAGGTAAAAATTTAGAAAAGTTAGGATTTTGAACTGATTTCTATGTAAATGGGGTTTTATTGTTTGGTAACATGATATCAGTACCTGCCCGTTTGTGACGTGTCTGATTAGGAAAGTTTGCAAATGTTAAGAAACTATTTATTGGGAGGAAAGTTTGTGACGTGTCTGTTATTTGTTTCCTAAAACAAATTTCACTAATGAGAGAAATCTATTGATTTAGATAAGTTAGGAAAGTTAGATTCAAATCTATTATTTGTTTCTTAAAAATTTGTTATTTGTTTTCTAAGACAAATTGAACCAATAAAAGGAATCGATTGATATGAATAATTTAAGGAAGTTAGATCCGTGATTTGTTATACGTTAGGAAAGTCCTGGTTGTAATAAAGAGTAGAGAGAAAAATAAATCGATGAACCAGGATGGGAGGGGGTGGTGGGAGGAGAGACGAAAAAAAACCCAGCAAAAATAAACCGTGAAGACTATTCACCAACTGCTTCATTATGAGTAGAGATAGTTGCGCTAAAACAAATCTAGGATACAACCAACAAAGACATAATCACCAGCCTAGGTACGAAACCCCAGCACCAACTCGGATCAAGTTGTCGTTCACATTTCCTCTGCAAGCATGTCCTTGAGGAATTCTAACATTTCATCAAAGTCCTGCTTGACGTTAACAAAGATAAACAGATATTCTTCATTGTTCAGTAACTTTGCATATTCCGCTAACATATTGTTCTTGACTTCATGCTTACTCAAATACTTCAGTGAAGTAGCCTTGTCATCAATGGGTTCTCTGGATGCCCTCTTCGCACTCTTCCTCGGCACACTTTTACAACATGAACTTGTGGAATCAGCAGAGAGGAATGCCCTTAATTGTGCCTTACTGATAACGGCTTCAGCCTGGAATCCAAAGTTTCATCAAGTTAACAAACAAAACGAAAAGAGCAGGAATGGGGCAAATACCGCCTGTTCAGCTCAAGAGTAGTGTATTGTACAGTTTTTAAGAAATCTTTGAAATTTTTGATATGAACAGTTTTTTATATGTTATTTTTCAATACATTAATATTTTTTGAATTGGAGAAATTTTGTGGAATTTCTATACATTTTTAAATACACGACCTTTTTTAGAAAAAACTAATGAATGTATTTTTATTTTCCGAATACTTATTATAAAATTTGAAAATATTTTTTAAAAATCACAAACATTTTCCGAAGCCACGGCATCACGTCCAATGTAGACAAGATCTATTCATGTAGGAACGTTCCTTTTTACTCCGCATATAAGATTTGCGTCTAGTCAAACTTTACAAATTTTGACCAAATTTGCATAAAAATATATCAGCATCTAGAATATCATATATACATAACATGAAAATATATTCCATAATGAATCTAAAGATATTTCTTTGGCATTGTAAGTGTTGATACTTTTTTTTCTGTAAGTTTGGCCAAACTAGAGATATTTTGATTTCAGACAAAAGTTATGTGCAGACTAACAAAACGGAGGGAGTATTATAAATTTTAAAAAGGAGGCACCGCAAGGGGCTTTCCCTCCTCGTCGCCGTCGTCTCGTTTTGTATATAGAAAAGGCAGAGGCGGGGCGCCTCCACCTCCATCCCCTCGAGACCCGACCAGTCGGCATACTACACACGAACCACCAGCCATGGACACCAACTGGGGCGTTGGCGTCGGCGTTGACCTGAACGCCCCGCCGCCCACCGGCGGCGACGACTGGCGCGCCCAGCTCTTGCCCGAGGCGCGCAGCAGGGTCGTCAACAAGATGTACGTATGGACTCTGCTCGATTTGCTCTGCCTTGCTTTGCTTTCCCCTCCCTCTAAAGTTCTAATCCATGTTCATTCGATCCTTCCTCCGCGTTTGCTTTCGGTTTCCAAGGGATTTCCCGCGTGTTTTCGGCTCGATCTTGTCATCGATCCATCCGATAGAGCTTCGATCCAGCCATGTCCTTAGCGGCAGCAACATATTCTTCGTCGTCGATCTACACACAAGCTCCCCTCCGGTCTCTGCGCCTCTGTACTAGTACTATATTACCCAGGTCAAAATTGACTAATCAACTTCCTAATCGGTCCAGCCTAATCACTTCATCATTTAACTTAACTAGGATTAAATTATATCTGAACAATTTAACACACAGATGTCACAGCGTTTGATCTCCTAGGGGAAACCATGCTCTTAGTGCTGTGCCGGGATGCAGTTTTGTTCTGAAGCTAGGGTGGATATATATTCCTCAAATGTTCAGAATTACGCCTTGGTCTTACCAAAGTTGAAAATTACGCCTTGCTAGTTGCATATAGGAATTCAGAATTGGAGATCTACCTCAATTGGCTGCTCTGCCTACTCGTTCCACCATACATCTCAGATGCCACATATTTTATCCACATTTTGCATTGTACGTGTAGAATGGAATGTCTGAAGAAGCATTTGCCGGTATCAGTGCCAGAGGGACTGAACGAACTTCAAATCATCGCGGTGCGGTTCGAAGATAAGATCTATACTGCAGCGACCAGCCAGGTAATTTAATCCGTCTTGGCGGCTACTCGAAGCAGAGCACAGTTTATTTTATTTTTAGCTATGGGGGTCAAACAAGGTTTATGGGCTAATAATCATAGTTTTAAATAGCGCGCTAAGCATCTTAGCGACGGACCTCTTCCAAATGCTATAGCGTGCTATAGCGGAGCTATAGCGCGCTATTTAAAATGTTTGTTCATTTGTTTAGACCAAAGTCTCTTAGCGCAAGACATTTTGTAAACGCTATAGCGTGCTATAGCGGAGCTATAGCGGGCTATTTAAAACAGTTAATAATAGAGCAGAACTGTCTCCAAATGTTGTAGAGGATACTTTTTAAGTCATGTTAAGTACCATGTATAACTATGGTTGAAATGTTAAAAGCTGAACCACCTTCTCGAGCATGCTAAACTGCTAATCAACCAGAACTGTTGGTTGCAAGCCACTATTAGTAATTTGGTGCAAAACTTTACATTGTTTTCCTTTGTACTACCCAGTCTGATTATTTGCGGAAGATCTCTCTGAAAATGCTATCTATGGAGACGAAGGCACAACAGGCTCCTGGAAATGCTCAAGTGATTCCAAATCTAAACAACCCCGGTCAAGGTATCATATACAGTGAACTGAGTGCTCCACACTTTATCATCAAGCGCTGAGATTTTGTGCTTTAATGCATTAAATCAACCTCCACCCTCTCCAGCATCATGTTTAAGAATGCCCGACGGAACCCCCTGGCGGCCCATCCAGGGTTCAGACCCCGCTGCAGTCGCCGCTGCTGCCGGCGTTGATCCGAACGCCCCGCCCCTCACCGGAGGTGATTGGCGCCCCCAGCTTCAGCCTGAGGCGCGCAGCAGGATCGTCAATAAGATGTAGGGACTGTAATTGATTTGCTCTGCTTTGCTTTCCTCTCCCTCAATCATATTAATTCGATCCTTCTCCACTTTTTTGGGGGATTAGATGATTTGCCACGCTTTATTAGGGGTTTGATGATTTGCCCCAGGCTTATCTCAATGGCAGGTGGCCCCGGCCCCACCCGTCAATCTCAGTGTGGGTTATGATCTAATTTCTCCCACCTTTTCGGTTTCCCACATACAAAAAAAGGAATTTCCTGCGTGTGTTTGGGTCAATGTTGTCATTGATCCATCTGATATATCTTTGATTCAGCCATATTCATAGTGGCAGCAACAGATTCGTCATCAATCTACACACAAGCTCCCAGTTTTTGTGCCTCTACTCTTAGGTCAATAATAATTCCTGCTGGGGCATTGACTAATGAACTCCGTATTGCACCTGCTTTTAATCCAACCTAATTACTTCATTTAACTATAATTAAATTCTATCTAAACAGTTTAATAGTACAAGTTTATTGACAAAGAGGTGCAAATTTGTCATGCCATACACCAATACAGTATAGCACAGATATCACAACGTTTGTCTCCTAGGGGAAACCATGCTATTAATTAGTACTGTGCCGGGACGCAATTTTGTTCTGAAACTAGAGTTTCTCGAATGCTTCCCCAAGTGATATTCCTCACATGATCACAAGTCATGACTAAATCAACCCGCGCAGCACCTCCTTGGTCTTATCAAAGCAAAAATTATGCCTTGCCTATAGGAATGGAGGGTGTATATGATTGAGAATTGGCTGCCCTGCCTACTCGTCCCACCTTACATCTCAGATGCCAGATATTTCATTGCACACTATGCATCTTCCAATTTATTCATATTTTGCATTATACGTGTAGAACGGAATGTCTGAAGAAGCATCTGCCAGTATCAGTGCCAGAGGGACTGAACGAACTTCAAAAATTCGCTGTGCGAAGCGAAGAGAAGATCTATACAGCAGCGACCAGCCAGGTAATTTAACCTATCTTGGTGGCTACTCGGAGCAGAACTGTCTCCAAATGTTGTAGAAGATTTTTTTACATCATGTTTAAGTACCTTTAGCAGTTTACCTTTTTTGGGGTACCTTGGGTGACTTTTTTTGCTCTCCAGCTGCCAATGTTTTCTTTACCTGCTCTTGGGAACATATCCTGATTTTTCTCATGCTTGGAAACACACACAAATTTTCCTGCGGTTGCCGGGACTTGAACTGCGGCCATGGGTGTGTCAATGCCCACACTCAACCATTTGCAGCACATCTGAGTTATTTTAGCATTTTCACACTTAGTACACATACAAATAGTAAGTTAATAAGCTACTATATTCTAAATCTTTTTAATTATGTTACATAAATGATAGACCAAAACGCTGATCATGATCTTGGTTATTATTGATCACATGTTGAATCTTGTAGTGAACTGTCTCCTGATGGGCGGAACTGTTGGTTGCAAGCCACTATTAGTAATTTGGTATAAAGCTTTACACTGTTTTCTTTTGTATTGCCCAGGCTGATTATTTGCGGAAGATTTCTCTGAAAATACTATCTATGGAGAAGAACACATAACAGGCTCCTGGAAATGCTCAAGTGATTCCAAATCAAAACAACCCCGGTCAAGGTATCATATACAGTAAACTGAGTACTGCACATTTTATCATCTTCGCTTGGATGTCGATTCTTTTTATTGCATCATGTGCTGAGATTATGTGCTTTACTGCATTAAATCAACATCCACCCTGTCCAGCATCATGTATAAGAATTTTGCATCTAACTTGTGTGTCATGTGTCCGTAGTTATTGAACCCGGAGCGGCGATTGACATGGTAAGTGCATTAGTTCAGTGTTCAGACCGTCGGATCCGCGGTCCAACCTGTTGGTTAAATAAAATATGATTGCATGGTTTTTGTCTGTTAGTATATGATAGAAACAATTTTTTTTAGATGATATGATAGAAATGATGTCAAGTACGAAGATAACAAACGAACAAAGCCTCTACCTTCATCCTACCTACAGAATATTTTACTGACCCCTGGTTCAGCGCCCAATTGGGTGGTTTAACCGGGTTTTTGCCGGGTCACAACATGTTGATTGGATCAACCTTCTCTACGAACCAGATTGGAACACGGCTTTGGTTCGGTTTGTTCTGGTCGGTTTTAATAACTATGCATGTGCCAGCTTAGACAAGTCCACTTTTTAGGTTGAATTATTGCAGAAGTTCACTTTTCAACTTTGAACTCGGAATCTGGTTGTTTTTAACCTTCAATTACTAAATTTGTTTACTTTACTCCCTTGGCCCTATCCAAAGCGGTTCCCCGGTGATATGGCATCAACTTATACAAGCCAACAACACTTTAACAAAAAATATATAAAAAATATAAAACAAGAAAATAGAAATCATAAA